AAAAAATAAAAAATAAAAAATAAATAAAAAATAAATAAATAAATAAATAAATAAAATCTTGTTTTATATGATTCATTCACACATTGCCACTTTAGTATTTTTAAGAACAAAAAAAAAATAGAGGAAACTTCCAAAAGTTTATTAATAAATAAACTCTTGAAAGTATTTCAGTAGATATAACAATACATGCTAACAATAATATGCATTATACTGCACCAAGATGAAATAACTAGACTTATTTTTTAAAGATTTTCCTGGATTTTTATTATAAACACTGTGAAGGAAAAGTATGTTTTTATAGTTCTTGAATTCATGCACAATATGTTTCTGGGATCACAGCCCAATAGAAAAATACTACTATTCACTGGGGAATAATATTTAATAGCAAAAAGAAAAAAAGACTGGGGATGGAGAGGAAGAAGGAAAGAATAAACAAAAAGATGATGGACAAAATGTAAAAGGTCTATGAGAAATTGGAAAAAATATTTTCAGGAGAAAAATATTAAGATTTCATTATATTTATAGTAAAACTTATTTGATTTGCTGAAAAAGATAATTCTCTAAAACTAATGTACATGGTACTTTATGAATGAATGGGTGCATTTTCTCAGCTTTTCTGTTTCCTAAAGAACCCTAATATTTTTTTATCCAAAATTGGTTTTATTTTGCTACATTTGAAAACTGATTTACTTTTCCCCCAATATGAAAGCAGTCCAAAGAGGCCATACCCATTAAAATGTTTTATTTAAGGAAACTTACCTCAGAAATTCAACATTCTAATTCTACCTCAATAATTTCTTAATGTGATAGTAAAAGTTCCAAATCTTTTAAGAAAACAATTTATTCTGAAAAGCTCAGGTACACATGTATCAGAAAGCAGTAGCTAAATCAAATAAGCTCTATAACTAATATAAATAAAACTATAAAGCAATGATATCACCAAAGAAAGAATATAGTATGAAAATATTAAGTGATTGGGTTTCAAAGACATTGAATTCTGAGTATCTTAAAAAATCCCAATAATACATTAAATTCCTTGGAACCTCTTTTAAAGTGAGAAACCCATTTTCAAGCATATGTGCACAAGTACCTTAGCCTCTTCATGCCTGCTTGCCTGTCCCACAGTCAGAGAAGACAGGATATTTGGTTAGGCATATGTTTATGAATAAAAACAGGAAAATTCCAACTTTAAAACCAAATATTTTCCTTGTTTAATTCTGGTATCTTATTGGCCCATATGCTGCCTCCTCCTCACAGTATGGTACCCTCCTCACAGTATGCCACCAAAAATCTCCTAGATTTTGACTTTTTTTTAAAGCATAAGGATAACATCAAGCAGACAGAATTAAGTAGTGGAAATACTGTATGAGAAAGAAAAGCAAAACTGATAATGATCTAAATACATACTGACATACTTGCTGAAGATATTAGGTGCTCCATAAATGCCTGCTGAAATGCTGTTTTGTGACATTTGTTGTGATAAATTCATCTCTTTCTCTAATTTACAAATCCCACAAGTTAAACACACCAGTTGAGTATAATTTAATATAAAACATCTGGCTGCACTTTTAAACATTTAAGGACAGCATTTCACAAATATGCCTGCTTCCACACTACTGCAGCAGGAGAAAGTGATAATAAAAATAATAAAGATTCTGGAGAAGTTATTCCATAAAGAAATCTCTTTAAATCTGTGAAACTCACATTTTCAAGTCATATTTAAGCATGGAATCTTTTTTTTATGGAGTTCTTATGTCCTCTAGAACTACTAATTGGTAGAGCAAAGGTTGGAAATGCTACTTGGAGATGTGGCCATGATCCCTTAAACCTAACATCTGAAGAAAAACTGAAAAAACATTTCTAACTGCTTTCTATTGTATTTAAAATATACCAGAAGATGATCATAGAACTCAAATTTGAATGTAAAAGTAGTTAATCTAGACTGAAATGAACTTACCTGCATTGAAATAAGAATGAAATCAATTAAGCTCCCAATTCCACAAAATCCTACAGTGCAAAACTTTAACAAACCTAGAAAAGAAGGTTAAGTCATTTACAACCTGGGAAGTCTTATAAATACTAACAGACTTTTGTTTCCCAATAAACCATTATATATACTGTACTACAAACTCTTTATATTAAGAACATAAAATTAACACTTTAAGAAAATTAAATCTTCACCTAAAAATATGAGAAAAGTTTAAAGGACCCCCTATATAGAAAAGCTACAAAAATTTATTAATTCACTAAACAAATAAATATAAGAAACTGAAATAAAAACTCAAAGTAATCATAAAAAAATATCTTAAGAGAAAAGGCCTAAGGAAACAAGTCTGTAAATCTCAGTACACCAGTTCCAGAGCATCTTTGAATCCTAAAATCATTATTTAAACTTAATAGATTATGTGATTCAAATTTTAATGTACACTTACAGTACGAAGTTCAAATAAATAAAGATTGTCAAGGCAAAAAAACTTGGTAAAAACACTGATCTACAAGGTAAGTGGTTAAAATTTTATTAATAACCCAATTATCTTGAATTTGTCTTTTTTTTCCTAAGCATAACATGTTTATTAGGTATATAGTCAAATTCAACAATTCTGTACAGTATATACACCTCTGTCCTTGGTCCCAATCTTAGAGCTAAGGTACTAAAATAGATGATAATAGAGCATAGAATCTCGGACATTTACAATGATATAACACAGAAACATGATGATGATATTAGAAGAGGTAAGGTGGGGGTGGGAGTGAGATGAGTTATCTATATTTAAACTTGAGTTGCTTTCCAGAGATCCCATTTGAGATTTAAAAATGGTATGAAACAAGACTCTTCATGAAAGGGTACTTCTAAGTATCAACTACAAATAGATGACAGCTAAAATCATAAGAATGGATGAGATCACCTCCTGCACACAATTTGGAAATACACAAATAAGACTGAACTATGTGGGTACATTGGATGATATTTTTTCCTTCTAAGTACTAGACATACAGCAGAATAATGTTGTAAGTACTGGGATAAAACATGTTGGGAATAATTTAAAAACTATTAAAATACAGAGGTATAAAATTATGTTGCAGTTTTCTTCATGATGCTTATTACCTACTTAATAATTTATATTTGTTTACTATCTGTCTCATGAAGGACCCATTAGCGGAGGGTCTTTTATCTATTTTGTTTACTCCTGTGTCCTTAGTCCCTATAAACATTGCCTGATACGTGGTATTTTTTGAATGAATGGATGCATTTTCTCAGCTTTTCTGTTTCCTAAAGAATCCTAATATTTTTTTATCCATTCTCTTATATAACTGCTTTAATTATTTTTTCATCTATATATATATATATCTGCACTCACTCCCTCATTGTATTTCTGAAATGTATCCCTCTTTCATATAACATTTTAGTGTACATTTGGAAACAGCAGTTTCCCTTCCTTCAATTTGTTTATGAAAAGAATATTAAGAATGGTTTGTCTTTAACTGCTACTCTGTGAAGAAAATGTAACCATGTCAGAATCCTTACTTGTCATGTCTTCTTCCACTGATATTCTTCTTTAGCTCTTCTCACCTCTTAGGCTACTTCCTCAGAGCAGTCTTCCTAATCTATCTACAGCAGAATGCCACCCCCTGACAGCCCAAGCACTTTATCATATGTCCACTATTTGTTTCCTTCATAATTCAGGTTAGAAATCTGTAACAGCCTCATTCATTGATTTGTTCATTCATTCTCTGTCTTCCTCTGCCATGTATATTCCTAAAGCCAGGACTCTTATCCGTCATATTCAAGGCAATTCCTGAACAGTGCCAGATAGACAGTAAAGGTTTAATAAGTATTTGCTGTATGACTATCAAAAAACTGGAATCAATCTAAATGTCTGACAGAGAGGAAGTACCTCAAAAAATTAAGCTACATCTAACAATAGGAGAGAATACTATGCAGCCATTTAACACAATGATATGGATGCATATTTGTTGGCAAAGTAATGTGATTTAACATGCAAAACAGAGAAAGATAATGAGTTCCTTAAATCTAGATATTCTGTTGCTGAACCCCTTCTTTAGGGTTCCTGCTCAGATAAAATATTAGATAAGCAAATAACATGTGTTTGGAACTTTGGTAAATGTTACCTACTCTTGGAATAATACAATGAAAGAAATATAGGACAGATCCAACATGATTAAGCATTTAAGGAATCTGTAAACTAATTTACAGTCATAGAAACCAGATGAGTACTTTCTTGGGGAAGAGCAGGACAACGAGGGCCAAGAGGCAGGGATTACAAATGGGCATGAGGGAGCTTTTGGGAGTGACATATATGATCATTATTTTGACTATGGCGATTGTTTCCCAAGTATATACCTATGTCTAACTTACCAAACTGTACATTTTAAATATGTGCACTTTAATGTATGTCATTTGTACCTCAAAAAGCTGTTTTGAAAAATTAAGGAACTAAGTTTGAACATTTAAAAAAAAATTAGACAGATGGTAACTACACTTACCATGATGAGCATTTCATAATGTATGTAATTGTTGAATCACTAAGTTGTATACTTGAAACTAACATAATATTTTATATTCAACTACACTTCAATTAAAAAAAGGCTCCAAAAGTTTAAAATAATTACAGTGATTTATATCTTGATTTACTCAAAACCTGTGATATTAACTATGGTCTGTTTCTGTTAAGTTTAACACAAAGGATGACTTTACTAATGAAGTTGTTAATAATATTATCTTAAATTTGTTTTAACTTTACAAATAAAAATATGTTTTATGAAAATAAGATAGGAAGGACACTAAGGATTAAAAGAGATAATGAGACAAAGTAAAAACAGATTAGCACCTGGCACATGGTAAGCATTCGATAAATATTAGCCTAGCTGCTACTTTGCTACCACTATTTCTACTACTACTACTACTACTACTACTAAAACTACTGTTATAATTGAGAAATTAAGACAGCATAAATCCACATTTTTTTAGAGTAGCATCCTCTAACCTGGTCTCATTTCCTGCAAATTCCTTCTGCCTGTGTTATAGCCAAATGACCCAAAGTTCACTTTTAAAGTGCCTGCCATGCTCTTGCATCTCCCTCATGCATCTCTGCATTTATATTGCTACACTATTCTCTGTCTTGACTCCTCCTATGACCCCCACTATTATCAATCATCTAGCTAACCTCCTAATAGTCTTCTAAAACTTTTGGAAAGTCTTCTCTATGTCCCAAGGATGAATCTAATGCTGTTCCTAGATGCTCACCAGCCCTTAACTTTCAGATAGGACACATCCCACAGTATGATTTATTACATATTATTTTATATGTTTGGCTTCCCCTGTCCTTCCACAAGCTACCTGAAGTCATGGCTGTATCATTCCCAAGCCTTGTCAATATGACTACTGAAGGAACAAATTATGTCAATTATCTTATTTGTAAACTGTAAAGAATCACTGATCAACCTGAACAACACAAAGAAGTATACATTCTAAACAGGATTTATTAAAATCAAAACAAACCATCACTCTGAGAGAGTTCATTATTTTCTAAAACAATACTAGCTTTTTAGAAGATGTGGTATTTGTGAACTACCAAAAGTAGACTGACTTATTTTTTCCAAATAAAAAAATGTCAGGTCTCTTCATACAGACCATTTATTACCTTCTTATTGTTGAAAAGAACATCAGTTCTAGTTTTAAAAATTGTTTCAAAATCTTAAAAGTTTCTAATCAAAAAGGATCCATTTTTATTGTGAACCAATACTATGATATATTCTTTCAAAAAGATTATACAGCCAGATGACATTAATAAAGCTCATGTCGTAAGTATACTTTATTTATAATTTAGTAATAAGCTTTACATTTTAAAAACATGAATTCAATAAAAGGATTTATTTAGGTATAAAATAAAAAACATCAATTCTTGGTATTTAAAAAAATTTTGCTATTTCTTGTTTTATTACATATTTTTATATTCTTCTACATAACTGTTTTAGAGAACGCAGATTATTTCATATTGAAGTTGCTATTTGCCAAACTGCAAGTATGCAACAATGATTTGATAATTAGTTAACACTATGCTTTTTGTGACTTCATAAGGGAGAGCTCTGAAAAATTTAACCTATAAATCTCCTTATTTGTCCTATAGTCTGTGGGCATTATATACCAGTCCAAACTGGTAACTTCAAACTTAGGAGGAAAAAAAAAAAAGGAATAATACGACCAAAGATTTATAAGATTTGGGCTTAAAAATATATGACTTTGTTATTCTCATAATGAGAAAATACTTACATTTAAAAAAGAATACCACTATGAAAAGAGGATTCTTCCTGTTAACTGCTCCAGAAGAGCTACTATCTTTAAGAATCCATAATCTTTTAATGGTACAGATGGGTAAAACAAAATATGCTATTTATTGCATAAAAAAAAAAATCACAGATGTAACACAGACAAAAGCACAAAAGTAGAATATCAACTTAGAAAAATAATGATTCTTGGTGAAAAAAGACTTCCAACTAAAGGAACACTGGTATATTGAGGAATAAACCAATTAAAGGAAATAAAGCTATACATAAAATCATAGTCTTGAGCTAAGAAGGAATTTTAAATATCTAGAAAGAAAACTTTTCTTAAAAGAATTTTATTCAATATCACCTCAAATTTCCCTTCTTTAATCTTGAAATATAATTTATGTAAGGAAGTATCACATTGAACACTAAATCAATTACTTAATAAAAATAGCAAGGAACAAGTTTCATATCTATATGATTTATATTATTTATTCTGTTCTTATAAAATTCCAATGGTCATGAACAATATTAAGAAAGTATTTTAAAAACTACCTATAAATACTACTTCTCATAGACCATGAAGAGTAAATAAGATTACAAGAAAAATAGAATTTTAGGCTCTGTCTAGAACTATTTTCATATCTGTCAACATTGTTATTGCCCATTAAGAATTTTTTTAAATAGTAGTAATCATTTTAGTTGAAAATACCAAAATTCCTTAACCTTGGATTCTTAGCAAA